TTTGGGTTGCAGTGGCTTTCCCCATGCCAAAATAGATTAAGGCTCTTGAATCCCCAACGAGAACAGCTGTTAAGGAAGATCAGCAAACCATACAATTTGTTCTGTTTCACTAGGAACATGAAGAGCAGGGCCCTAAAATAAAAGTTCTAGAGTAAGATCCCAAGGACAGCTGGGCCTTTGTTTGCAAGTGCTGCAGTAAATGCCCAAGGAATAACTGAAAAACAACACAGTGGTGCCTCGTACTTTTGGAGAAAGTAGTTCAAGTTCAACTAACGCATGTTAAAATGACCTCAGTAGCTTTGCAGAGATCATAATCGGCCCTAGAGCAGCTGCTGAGTAAGCGATGCTTGCACAAATTAAGGATACCTAGGGGCAGCTGTGAAACTAGGTATTTTGTTTTTCCAGGGCACCTGCATGTTAGGAGTTAAAAGTTAGCGAAACTTGTTTTGCAAGGACAGTAGCTCCCTTCCGACTGTAATTTCACTGCACGCTTCTGAACCTGTCCATCCTTTACCCTCCACATACCTATCCATTTTCCTGACAGGTAGTCTAAATGTTAAAACTGATTTTGCCAGTTTAATCTAAACTTGAATGGCAGAATGCTGCTTTGTACTTTAAATTACTCAAGAAAGCTTTTGCCCCATAAAGTGGTTTTTCTTTTCATAGTCATTAGGGGCTAGAAGGGACCTTACAGATTATTCAGTTCAGCCCCCTTTTCTTTCTTTTTGGCCTGCACCCTTCTACAAACAAGCCTAAAATAGAAGGGAAAGAACACTTACCAAGAGAGACCTCAAACTCAAATGAATAAAGCAAAGCTTGGGATAGCGGTGGTAGTACTATGCATTAAAGTTTGCTTTAAACCACTACTGAATCTTCTGCTTTACAGCAAGTTTAAACCTTTTGATCAAACAAACAAACAAACAAAAAAACCCCCAGTAAAAGGCACCAACCATATAAAGAAGTCAGCTAGGAAGCAAAACATTGTTCCTTGAAGCTGAAATATTATTAAATTTACTCTTCATTACCAGGACGGGGAACTTGCTGTAACCAGCCTTCCTAATTAAACTTTTCTACTGGAGACTGAAGTGGCATTCAGTAAAGGCAATGACTTCGCCCTGGCAAGTCCGACTCCACGGCGTTGTGATAAATTACAAGCCAAGTGCAAAGATACTTCTTGAGTGCATCAAATACGTCAGAGTCTCTGTCTTCTGATTCCTTCCCAAAAGAAAGGACGTGACATTTCTGACACACATCTATTTTGGTAGATGCCGTCAGAGGTGTATCTATATATATACATTTTTTAAACTGAAGTCAACTAAGCCCCCTCCCCTACACATAGTGAGAGGAGATGAGCTTTATCCCACGTCGCGATAGGAAGAAAGTCACTTCTCACGTCACTCTCCCCTAGCGAAGTCGCGGCTCCCGACAACCCGCGAGGCGCCCACGTCCCGCGCTCCTGGGCCAAGCGCGTCACCCGCTGCTGCTCCACGTCACAGGGTGCCGCGACAAACCGGGACTTCCTGGGACCACTGCCACTTCCCCAGCCCGCGCGGAAACCCTCCTCAGCCGTGCCGCGCCACGCCGCGCCGCGCCACCACGCCGCTGCCTTGCCTGCCTGCCTGGGGTGGACGAGACCAGCCCCCCACCCTGCGCCTGCCACCCTGGGGCTGCTGGGAGGGGGAAACTGAGGCAGCCAGTGCAACACCCAGGACGGTGACAGGAGCTAATAGTCCTGCATCTGCTCGGCCAGGGGCTCCCCCAGGGGCCAGGCCAGCAGGCCCCAATGTCTGGAAGAGGGGGCACACACAGGACCCCCAAATGAGAGCACTAGGGGGGAGGGGCTTCTCCCACCCAGGCCAAGGGCACGGGGGAGGGGCAGCCCCCCCACCCAGGTTCCCACCACTGGGGGGGAGGGGCAGCCCCCCCAACCAGGCT